TTTATTAAGATATAAAGAATGTATATCTTGATAAACTATGTCAAGGAAAAACATACATATCAGTTAGTTAAACGATAGCAAACAAAAGTTCGTGTGAATAAAATTTTAAAAGTTGAGTGGGGGGGGGGTAGAAATAATTGCATTTCTGAAAAAATAATTTGTTTAATAGTATAATTATTAGTATTTTAATTTTAATTATTTTATAATAATATTATGTATTAGTATTTTATATCGCATGCTAATATTTCATATTGTTTTTATTTCTTATAATAGTGTGCTGTTGTTTTCATTCGATTATATAGTGTTTGGTTTGTGTAAATATTGATATATAATTAGAGCATCTATTACAAGGAGAAACATATACCGGGCATTTTTCAAAAGTGGCTCACTCCTATACCTTTTTTATTTTTTTAGATAAAAAACGAGATTTGGTGTGTTAGTATATGATGTAAATCGTCAGTGAAACGTGATAACCTGCTAAGTCCATTTTTTATGTTAATAAGTTTTTTATACCATGAAAAAGAGAAATAAATACTCTATAAGTAGACAAAGCAAATAATTTTTTTTCCCATTAAAGAAAATTTGCTATTTTAATTCAATAATATCTGCTATTTCCCAGTGATCTGAAATAGCCACCGAAATGCTGCTATCTCCGTAATTTCCGTTACGCTCACGCTAAAGCAAACGCACGGATTCTTACTCGTATGTTTCTTTAGTACAGTACGTCTATCCAGGGTCGCACTAGGCCAAAGGGGCCGGGGTGGCAATGTAAGGAGGGACCCGTGTGGATTTTTTTGCGTATTTTTTTCTACTTAGGTTTTGGTCAATTTTTCCCTATTATATGAGATTTTTCCCTATTATGTGAGTTTTAAATAAGAGCAAATATTTTTTACGGGTAGTATATTTCGACCCAAGAAACACGATTATGAGGTTTCTGCGCCATTTTTTTTTGAAAATTTGGAATTTTTTTTGGAGTGTCATTTTTTATCGAATAGAGTAAAGAAATATCGGTGGTTCCATTTAAAATCAAAAGTTGGTCAATTCTGATTTATGTCATATACCAACGTACTAAATCTCGTTTACTTAACTAAAAAAATAAAAAATAAACTGTTATAGGGTTGAGCCACTTTTGAGAAACACCAGGTATATAGTATTAAAATATTTTTTAAACCACAGTATACACAAATATAATTACATGCAGTTTTCCACAAAAATGTAAAATCTCGATCCCATGTCTCTTTGCCGTGGGCTAGTCGATATTTTTAGGATGCGTACGAAGTAATATTTTTGCAAGAATTCCCGTAATGGAATGTCTGTTATCCGGAATTTTCGCATAACCGTTTGCCTTTGCATTTTCTCGGTTTCAAAGATTTATGGATGGCTATAATTTCGGTAACGTCGAGTCGAATAGTCAGCAATTGTGTGGCGATCGCCCGATAAGTACAATTGCTTTCAATTTTTGCAGTTATGTGTTACGGATGATCGATTTAAGTACTACAGCTTATCAGTATCTGATTTTAATTTGATCCTGATTGATACGATAGAAAAATTTATATATACTCATTATATAACTAAATATCTTTTTTTATAAATAGTTATTTTTTATCAGTGTTTTTAATGAGAAATTACATTTAGGGTAAATTAGTTTATTTAATTTGAGATTTGTACAAAACCTGTGGTTGAAATGAAAATTTGGTTTAGATTAGTGATACAGTGACATAGCATTGCATTGCAATTCATATAAAATATCACGATAACCTATCTTGTACGGTAAATTAAAGGAACATGCTTTACTCAAAACATTATCCTCCTTGTAGTAAATACCATTTTTTCTCGTCTAGGTTATTAATTACTGTATTAAAAGAATATAGAAAGTTGTTAACGATTTATAAAATTTTACCATTCTTTATTTTACTTGCATACCCACAACTACAACTACCTTGTCATTATCTGAACACACTCTAAATAATGTAAGATATTTAAAAAATAAAAATTAAACTAAGATTAAAAAAATAACTAGTTTTAAAATATGTAATTTGCAAATATCGAGAACTTTGCTATCAAAAAATAATGTGTTAGGTGGATACAGTAAAGGTTTTTTAGAATGATTTTTAATGCACATTAAATACGTGTAACTTTAACAGTTTTTGGCAGCGCACGCCAGAATACTTGCTTAACACTATGTCTTTATAAAATATAGAATATGTGCTACTCTGATATATAAGCTTTATTTTATTGTAAAGCCTTATTAAAATCTATTCGGAAGTAATTTTAAAAATTGAAAAATAGAGTTGATAGTCTTAATTGTATACCAACTATAGCATTAGTAAAATCTGTTGGTTTTATTACTTATAGAACATCAAATGATGGTATTATTGACTTAACTGATTGCGCTAGTACTCAAATGTTTTAATATTTATGAAAGCTTTTCAGTGAATTTTTCTATTTTGAGTGAATGCAAGTCCATTAAATAAATTTAGAGAAACAGATATTGTTGATTGATAACCGATTAAACAATAAAAGATTTATGTTATTTGAAAATAAATTTTATATACTGTATCCATAAAATATTTATTATAAATTCTGGGTTTATTTATCACTGTGATGTAAGTTAAGCTATACTCGATATCGTCTTTTACATTCAGGCGAATTATGTTTCAATGAGATATTTAAAAAAAACGTACCAGTATAATGGATAATGTTATACCACAGTGGTTAAACTCCCGGAACAAAGTTTCAGACTAATTTTAACCATAGAGCGAAAACTTTTCTTTAGCAATAAAGCGTAAAATTTTATAGGCTACCTTCCTCGGTTCCTCCGTACAAAGTTAATCAATACACACTTGCAAACATAAAAGGAATCTACTTACTGTATTAATATTATATGAGGTACACTCTTAACACTAGAGGCTTTGTACCTAACTATGAAACTAATGGATCTAATTTGTATTGAGATGACTCGCCTATTTAAAAATAAACATATTTCTTTAAATTCAAAATATTCAGTTTTAAGACACTCTGTATACATAAATAATATTATTGATTTTTAAAATAGTATTTGCAAAACCAGGTAGAGGGAAATCTGAAAAGACGACGAACAGAGATAATAGGTGTTAAGTAATAGCTGGCTTTGAGACTACCATTCGAGGCGCATTGATGTTATTTTGGGTTTGTAGGTTTTGTGAAAAAGAATGTTATTAAAGGTAAAGTAAATGTTTCCTCATTGTTTAACTAGTGTTAATTTAATCATATTATTTTGTTTTTCTGTTATAATATTCTGTATTAGTATTTCCTTATTTATTTCATCTGAGAATTATATTATATAACATGTGTATGCATTTAATGGAATCGATTTATGCTGTAGATAATTTCAGTTTAAAAGAAATCTAAATACCATCGTTTACTGTCCATTCGTGCCGATGTTTTCGGTTCAGTGTGGTAATAAGGGCCTTGTTGAGTGTATTCATTTTTTTTCTACGAGCCTGGGCGAACATCTTAGATTTGCAGAAGAACTTTTGCTTTGAGCCTTGAAACCAGAACCTTAGTTAAGTACCTGCAGGCGGCGACCTGATAAATTAATAAAATCTCTTCAGTTTTGAATGTATTAAAAGTGGCATGTTTTGAATGTAATAAACTATAAACATTGGAATGAGGACAGTTTTTGTATTATTATTATTATTTCTCTTTTATTAAAGTCCAAAACAGCATAGTTGGATACTTTGGAATAGTGATCAAGGTTTTCCCTGCCGTGCTCTTTTACTTGTGTATTCCAGGCAGAGTACTCCATTTACATTTCATTTAAAAAACCAAGTACTTAGGTCTAGTTACGAATTTAGCGTTTGATTTACATTTCCTATTCTCCTCAAGTTTCCCAAAATATTTTTTCTGTTGGGCGCATTCGAGGCAAGTCACAATAAAATAGTATTTAACACTACGTAGGTTCCTGTATTTCATTTAAATTGTTTCTTATACAGTTGGCCAAAATATTACTTCTTCGAGTTTGTTGAATGACCTTGGGTTTTTATACTACAGTATATTTTCGGATTTAATCGCAAACATACCGTGCTGGCAACTGTTACTTTTGGGTCGGCATTTACATGTGTCGAAGTAAATCGTATAGGAATCTTATTAAGTCGGAGTGAGAAAAATGCGACCGACCGACGCGACGCGCGACGGTGTGCTGTTGCGGCGTTGCCGATACGCCTTTCCCTATCAAGTAAAGTAAAATCACGATCGCAAACCGCTTATTTTTAAAAGACTTGTTTTTCAAGAGATAACTAGATAAAATCATTAGACATGTTTCTGAGCATCTGAAATGGAATTATAAGGATATCGTTAAGGTGTTTATAACGAGAAAACGTCAGTAATCGCGATAATTTAAAAACTCAACTTTTTAACAGATAACAGGCCATAACTCATGAACCACTTTAGATATTGAAACTTTTTTTTATTTTCAAGATCGGATATTTTACAATATGTTTACATAAGAAAAATTCGATAAGGTTGTTTTTTCCATTCAAAAATTGTAAACAATCCATCCATTTACTTTTAGAGCATAGCAATTTTCAGCAATCGTGTAATTTTTTTATTTCTAATAGATTTCGAGATATCGATTTTTGAATTCAGAGTTCTAATAGCGCGACCACTATCGAACACCCACTCAATACCACTTATTTTTACCAAAAATGCAAGTGTTTCTAGCTTGCAGTTAAAAAAAATACGATTCGTTAATAAATGAACAAATTAAGTATCACGAGACGTAATTAAATCGTGAAGCTGAACGCATGACGTACACCTTTCCCTAGAACTTTAAGTACTGACAGAGGTATTGATTGGGTCGACCGGTCAACTGCGACAAATCTACTATATCCCCTTCCACGTCTCTTAAGGCGCGTTTCCACGAGTCGACTCAAGTCGAACGACTAAGTAGTTCGACTTGAGTCGAAAAAAAAATTGTTTCCACGTTTCTACTCAAGTCGAATAATTTGCATAGTTTTAAAATGGCGACGAACGGTGGCGTGGTGATTCTAACAGGTCTTGCTATTAGAACCGAAGTTTTAATTGAGGAACTAAAGAATATTCTGATAGAGAAAAAGAAAAGAAGGCAATGTTGGACACGCCCTTGGATATTAAGACGTAATACACTCGGAGCGTCAAATAGACTGTTAAAAGAACTTGCTATAGAAGATCCGCGGTCGTACCGAAATCATATTACAATATCTGAAAAACAATTTAAGTTTTTGCTAGAAAACGTTTTTTCAATTATTCAGAAAAATAATACCAATATGAAGGAGGCCCTACCAGCTAAGGTTAAACTAGAGGTAGTTCTGAAATTTTTAGCTACAGGCGATAGCTTTTCATCTCTTGAGGCATTATATCGCATTCCAAAATGCCAGACACACAAACATAGTCGAATTTGGCGTATACACAAACGACTTCCAGTCGTTCAACTAAAACGTCATAGATCGAAACACAAAAAGTAGACTGACTCTCGACTTCAGTCGAATCGAACCACTAATCGAGCGACTTAGTAGAATCAATGTTTACACATTCGACTTTCGGTCGAACTACCTAGTCGTTCGATTTGAGTCGACCCGTGGAAACGCGCCTTTAGCGATGTGCACAGTTTCTTGGTTTATTTCATGTTTGGCAACGTGTTTACTGTCCTCTCTTTGTTCAGTACATTATAAACGCATTATACTCTTCTCACATACGGAAATCTCGACCCAAGACTAACCTTTGCCAGCCCTTAGTATATAATATTGAATAAATAATAGATAAAATGTTTATTTTTTATAGGTTTTTATAAATTTTCCAATTTAACTGATGTAATTTAATCAATGGCTAAATGAAAGTAAATGAAACCAAATATGATAAATTATGAGCATTACGTAGCGGATTACTATGAAAATTTAATTAAAAAACTTGTTCTTTGAAGTTAGCTAGTGGAAATCTATAATCCAATTTATATATAATCAAAGACTAAATACGCCGTGTATTTTAATCATAATTTCTAAAAATGTTTGTGTAATATAGAGGCCGTTTTAGTAATTTTTATTTTCCATTCTGGATCCAAATATTTTCATACAAATTCACATACAAATAGCAATATATTAAATGAAATGAAAAATAAAAAAAAAATTAAAAAAAATAAAAAAATTGATCATATTATTATTTTTATATATATCTTTCTTCTTCTTCATATGCTGCCTTCGCGTCGAATATTGACGATCATCAGAGCTTTACGAAGGATATGTTACTCGAAGTAGAAAAGCGAAGTCTAAACGAAACTCATGATTTTCGAGTCGCAATATGTCCCTTCAGAGAAATCTACTCTATGTTTAATATTTTTGTTGTTTTATTTAAATTATTTTAATTAAATCATATATTTTGATTAGTATGTTTTTGTTTTAGTGGCAATATATACCCCAAAATTGAAGCAAATATTAAGTCTTCATTAAAAAAATATAAGAAATGATTTATTTTAAGAAGAAGCCCATACCCATATTAAATGATGAACTGAAAATATACCTCATATAATATTAACTCTGGCGCTTGGCTTGGATTAAATTGGAAATCTTATATCTAACTTTGAAAAAGGAAAAGGTTGCCGTGTAATATAAGATGGCAAAGTTCGGTCTAAACCAACAAAAGAATATAGGCAACGTAATACATTATTGCGATAAAATCCTCGAATATGTAAGTTATACACATTAGTATCAGTCTGACACAGAGCTTCGAGACTAATACAATATTAATACGGTAAGTAGGTTCCTTTTATGTTGGCAAATATTTCACCCTTAATTCGTAAGGAGGGTAGAAACGTGGTCTATAAAATTTTACGCTATATTGCGGCAGAAAAGTTTTGGGGTCGCGGTTAGAACTAGTCAGAAATTTGTTCGGGGAGTTTAACAACTCTGGTATTAATTATCCCCTATTCTCTTAGATTTTTCGTTGAAATAATATTTCTTTAACATAAATAATTGCTTCTCTAGTTCTCATGTTTTAACAGTCAGCTGAAATACCAAAAACTTGGTTTTACAGAGATATTTTTGTTGAAATGCTTATTTCACTGACATAAATATGTTTTACTCATTTTAGATATTTTCTTTAGTAATTTGTAGCACTAGAATTAAAAAAAAAGATGGAATGTTTTTTTTATAAGAATTTTCTTCTGGAATTATATTATAACAACTAACACTATTGGACAGAGCTGTTCGCCGGTGAGCAATGGGTCGTAAGATCTAGTTTGAATACATTTGATTTTGCATTAAACTGTCAACATCACTGTTTTATACGTTATAATCCAGATCACTCAGTTTCGATGACCAGATCTGTATTAAAACGATTAAAACAATGAATTTGTAGAACAATGTAAATAGAAGAATTTGTTTATTAATTGTAATTTTAATTTTTAGCATTTTATTTAAAATTCACATAATTAATATAAATGTACAAAAATTATTTTATTTAAATAATTCAAGTTTAAGTCCTCGCACCGAGATTGCGTCCTAAGTATTGTTATTATCTTTTATTTTTTCTTTAAGTTTATTTCTGGTGAGATTTTTGAGTTTCGTTGGTCACTTTATTTCTGACGGTATAGGACCAGGTACCTCGTGTCTACCTTCATCGCCATATTGGTAGCTAAAGACTGAACCCGATAGAGCTATCGGCGTTTGTTGGCATTTTGCCAATTTGTTTGGGAAAACCCTCTAAGCAGAGGTAAGACTCTTAAACTATTTTACGCGTAACTTTAAGTAACGTTTTTGTACTTATAAGGTTATTTTATGGTGGCTTTATTTTCTGGTGCCATTTTGTCTTTTATTGTACCTGTCATTGAGCCCTCAAGTTTGTTCCTACATTTCACGCCGGGAATAACGGAGAAATCTCCTGAATTCATCCAAATTTTCGATCCTGTCTGTTCAGAAACAACTTACACCACAATCCAGTTCCGGTAGCAGTTCACCACAACCAACTTGTGACCAGAACGAATAAAAAAGTCCAGATCATTTAATTTTATAGCTATAATTTAAATTCATTTTAATTCATTAAGCCTTTCAGGCATATTATATATTTAATTGCTTAAGAATCACTTTGATAAATTTTACACATGTTATGCATATTTCTGATGTTCACATAGTACATTTTTTTTGAAATATAAAGAGTCCCGACATTTTGGTACCAAGATTGCCAGACTTTATGAGGAATAATTAATAAAAAATAATATTCAGAAGCGTGCAGATTTAACTTACCATGCATTAAGAGTAATCTACTTTGGTACTACAATATATCAACAATTATTTTTAAACGTCAATTTTCTCATATTCTTAATTTATTCTATTGAACATTTAATTATTAATTATACTTAGTTATTAGTTTATCTCAGCGTTTCGTTTGTGTAATTCTTAAAATAAGTAATACCTATACTCTGAGTTGATTTCTCAGTTTTCAACTTAGAAGTTTTCGAAATTAAATGGAAAGCTGAGTGACGCCTAGTATCTGATAAAGACGTAAGTATTACAATTTAATTTTCGAGATCAATGTTGGGTTGATATATTTCTTCTAGGTAATGCATCAAAATTTGGATTGAATGCATTTTGATTGAACTGAATTTGAAAAAATATATTTGCTTTATAAAATATGTTGCATCTAGGGTTGGAACTTTATTTTTTATAGTTAGTTACTCATTTTGCTACCGCTGTATTAGATTGTATTATCTTCATTTCAGTAGTATACAGGAAAGTGTTTAAAATAGTTCATTTTTTTTTTCAAATCAAGTTTCAAAATTCAACTATATTTTTATGTTTTTCCTAATTTTCCCTAAAACGGTATTGAAATTTGGAAAGATATAAACGGGATTAACCATTTTAGAAGCAGCAAACATTTTTATGAAGAATGCATTTTTCTCAAAACTTCAATAATAAAAAGTGTCTCCTCTTGTGAAGACAAACCGGGGACATACTGCATATTAAATTTACAATATTTAATTTTTAAGTCATTCATAACTTGCAGATCTAAATTTAAATATTGTGTTCTTCGAAAAGCGTATACATTTGATATTTATGTCATTCGAGTTTATATTTACATTTTTCCACCAAAAAAGTGATGCAACCTCCAGAGGAATAACAAACGTTCCGTTTTTCATTTCGGTATGTCTGTCAACGTAAAAAATTAATAAAATACGCCACCCCTCTGTATCTCACTCACTGTTTGAGGGGATTATGAAATTTTGATGAGATATTAATATTGTGTCACACATGATGGGGTAATAATTAATAATGTGACAGAAACGGTATTTAATTAATAACGTGTAATAAATCAGTTGTTTATTTGTTATTCATTGTGTTAAATATTTTTTGAATGGTTATTTTACTATTATTCTACATAAATACTTGAGTGATTTTTTTATTTAATAATATTATTACTTCCGTCTTTTTACAACATATTATAGTGGAAGTAGCGACTTCGTTCGCGTCGAATTAATTATTTGTAACGGTGATGATAAAGCAAAGCAAGAATTTCCATTAACATACAAACTGGATAAAATTTTCTCACATTTATGTCAGCATGAGAAACACAATATAGCGATATTATTATATAACTTGGTAATATTTGAGGGGTAGTTTCATCTCGTTTTAATTTGGCTTTCGAAAAATCTGTTTGCCAAAAATAAGCTTTTTACGTCAAGCAGTAAGCAGAATCGTGGTTAAGAAATTACCCAACTTTTTGGAATACCCTGTATGATTTTTTAAAAAATTTCAAAATATGTAAAAAAAACAAATAAATTATGCTTGTCCAAGCGTTTTCCCGAAAGACTAACCGTTTTTTAAATAACAAATATTGTAATATTTGAGGGGCGTTTTCACCCTCTTGGAATTTGAGATTCGAGAAACCCTTCCTTATCGAACCTCTACACCTCTACAGGGGTTGGTTCTCACCGATACGGCAAGTAAAACTTCGTCTATATCAACAGACGATGTAGTAAAGTGTCGGTGAGGTTATTTTCTACTTTCGATTTTTCGAAATTAGAAAAAAATACACAGCTAAAGGCAAGAAAATATTATTTATTAATATACACTAAAGCTGTAAGAATTTTGTTCATTTTATATATATTTGAGCGGGCCGAAAAACGCTCT